ACACCAGCCAGGGCTCCATGCATTTATTCAGTCGCTCATTGAGCTGGTGTTACTGCTGAGTCAGAGCTATAGTGCCAGATGCTGCAGAGCAGGCGAAAGCCCCTGGAATCTGCACGGAAGTGAGACCCACATCCCTGACCTCAGATGGGCCCACCCCAGGAGAGATAAAGAAAAAAAGGAGCAGACCTCCTTGAAAACACCAGCATTTGGGGGCCAACAGAGATGGGAGCTGAGCAGCAGGAGGGCAGATGGCAGATCACGGCGGCCTCTCAAAGGCCAGAGGGAGAGAGAGTTTTGAGAAGGAGTTGATGGCCAGCAGGATGGGGAGCCTGAGAGACTGAGGAGGTGAAGCCCAAGCCCGGTGCAACTCCAGGCTTTGGGAGATCGCAGCAAAGGGCTCAGGAGGGAGCAGGTGATTAGCAAGTGGAAGTTTCTCTGTCCAGAGACTGGGCTTTTAGAGGAAAAAGAAAGCTGGAGAGAGGTCAGCAGAGGCAAGGGATGTTTTTCCTTTTTTGGCTTCCTTTTGTTTGGTTTAGCATGGCGAGGCTGGCAGGTGCCCTCACACACAGGAAGACACTGGTGGTGGTAAAAGAGAAATAAACACGCAGAACAGAAGCATTTCCCCACAGCAGTTACTGCCCCGAGCATGGCGCCTGTTTACTTGCTTGATGCCTTTACGATCATCCGTTCCTCCCAACCAGAAGGATGGCTTGTGGGGGCCGCGTCTCTCTGTTCACAGTGGGCCCCCAGCAGTGCCAGCCTGGAGCGGACACTCAGTGGGTGCTTTTTGCATTCAGTTGAATTCCCAGGGTTGGTGGGGTGCTTACAGTTGGGTCCCAGGAAGAGAGGGGCTCAGGAGAGCCTGAAGGAGGGGCTTTCAGGACAGGAGGGCGGGTGTACCCACGTCTTCACAGAAAAGTGCGTGTATGTGGCAGTCACGATGGGGAAGTGGGGATTAACTCGAGTGGAGGACGGATAATAATAACAGCTCCCCCGCCCTTGTGAGAACGCTCTAGGAGGTTATTATTTATTAGCATTGCTTTGCCACTGCTCTGTTACAAATGCATTCAATCACTTAATCCTCGTAACTCTGAGGAAAGAAAACTATGCTCAGCCCCGAGGTGAAATAGCTCATGGTAGGGAGGCCGGGATTTGAACCCAGGGCTTGGGGCTGTGATGTTAATCCCTGAGCCACATGCCTCCCCACTTGGCCTTACTTTCTACAGTTCGTTCCTCTCCGTGAGCCTCTCAGGGGGCCGGGAGTCATTATTCTTACATGTCACAGGAGCAGAGAAGTGTGGTGACTAGCCTGGGGTCCTGCAGCTACTTATGGGGGCGACTCCAGCCTATGTTCCTTGAACTGCAAGCCGGTGGTTTCTCCTTCTCAGAGAGAAGCCATACAGGAATTTGGTAGGGAGTTTGGTGCAAAGAAACGTGCCAGCTGAGCTTGGAGACAACATTTTACTTTGAGTCCAAGACAGAGAGAGTTGGGGTTGGCAGGTGGGGACCAACAGGAAGAGGACAGGGCAGGGTCTGGAGGGGGTGCCGCCTGGCTGTCCTGGCTGACCCTGGGATGAGGCCAAGTGAGACAGAATGAAATTTGAGCAGGAGCGTGGGCCAGAGGCCTTGACAGAGACCTGGGTGGAGCAGGGGGAGGGAGGGGGGGCGGCCGCATTCAGAGGGGGATTCCAGATCTCTGGTTCTGGATGGAGAAGAACCTTGGACCGGAGCTGGCCCAGCCAGACTGAGGCCAATATCCCTCCTGAAAGCCACCCAGGCCCTGTGATGTCCTTCAGGAAATAGCTGCTTCTGAACACAGAGGGGAAAAAATCTTCGGGGGTCAAAAGGGGAGAAGTAAGACTTCCTACGTGAGTACCAGGAATCCTGATGCTGGGTGTGGGGTGGGGAGGGGGGTGGGGGCGGGGAGAGGCGGGCAGGGAGGCACTTAAAACCAGCCGGGCCCAGCACCTGCATCTTCTCCAGGCCTGACAAGGAGGACGCGTAGCCTGTCTCACGGGTGAGGAATAACGTTCTGGGGGCTGCCTTACCTGAGGTGGGTGGAGGCGGCGGGCACAGAGAGGGGCTGTGGGATGGGACAGCTGGCCCTCCGTTGCTTGCCCCTCAAATTGCAGGGAGGTCTCATGCGCCTTCTGTAAGTGGAGCCTGGGACTGTTCATCCTTCCCAGCTGGACGACGTGAGCCGAGGGGGTCTTGGGAGCCCAGGGTGCTGCCGCGTGTGGACTCGGAGGATCTGTCTGTCCTGTGACCCACCAGTCCCCAGCGCCCACATTTTCATGCTCTGTCAGGCTGCCTGTCTCCACTCTCCCCACTCTCATTGCCAGAGCCACCGCTCCGCTCCAAAATTATCTCCTGGCTGTACTCATTCTCCCCTGTGGTCGCCTGATAAAAATAGCCAGCCCCACCCACTTCCCCTGGGGGTCTGCTCTAGGCTTCACTGAGGGTCCATTTTCCTGGCCTGCAGAGCAGCTGGTTCAATGGCTCTACCATCTCCTCTGGGAAAATTTTGTTCCCTCTCAGACCCACGGCGTTCACACTCACATCCACAGCCCACGACCCACGGTGTTCTAAAACGCACCGGGGTCTTGCTGTTAATTCAGGTATGATGAGGCCAAAGGGAGACACGCCATTTAAAAGATAGTTTGTTAATCACAGTCTCCAAGAGCAAGGAAGACAGGGCACCATACAGGGCCACCCGGGAAGCACCAGGGCCGATCAGGAGACAACAGAAATGAGCAGAAGTGTGATTCAGCGTGCAGAAAGGGACAGTTTGGGGGTGAGGGGCTGGTGGCCTGTCCGCGGCCCTGGGGTGATTTCGGGCAGAGGAAATATTGGCTGGGAGCAGGACTGTTAAATGAAGGAGGTGCTTGGGCAAGGGAGTTTAGGGCTGGCTGGTTTGTCTGTGGCTACCTCTAGGGATGAGCTAGTCCTGGAAGGGGCTGTCTCTTCCCAGCCCAGCAAGGCCCCCAAGGTGTCAAAGCATCCTAAGGTATAGAAAAGATATAAGATAGGGTTACTAGATGGGGGACGCCCCGGGGCAGTACCGTGAGTCAGTCAGAGGAGCCGAGCCACGTTCCTGAATCCTTGGGCAACTTGCTGTCCCTTCCCGTGCCTCGATTTCCCTGTCTGTAAAATCGACAACTGGTATTCTCTCATTCAACGAATGACTGTTGAAAGGGCAGACATTGTGCCAGCAGGTCTACCAAGCCTCACCTGCACGGTCACCAGCGGGTTTGAAGAGACAGTGGGCAGTGCCTGGCCCGTGGCAGGTGCCCAGTACACGGTAGCTGGCGTCTTCCTCTTGCCACAGCCCCATGAAGCAGCTCAGAAAGATTGGTGTGGCGGGGTGGGGTCGAGGGCCATTGGCTTGGACATTTAGAGCCCTCAGAGCAGAGGCCATGAGTAGACAGAGCCCCCGGGAATGTTCTTGGAACCCAGAGGAGCTGCATGAAGAGGCCATCCCAGGGGCCAGGAGCCCTGGAGAGTTGGAGGTTGTGCCTTTGGAGCCAGGCCTTGGGAGGGGCCAGCAGCTCTGGGCAGAGCACGGGCAGGAGGGACCGCTGAACTCAGGGATCGGAGACAGCAGGGCACCGAAGCGGAAACGCTGGCAGACCATAGGCCCGCTGAGCAGCTGCAGATGAATAAGGACTTTGGGATGCAGAGATGGAAGGCAGGCAGGCAGCCGCTAGTAAAGAGCTCTGAGAGGCCAAGTTACAGTCAGGCACTGGCCCAAGACACGTGGAATTTCCTCTGCATCTGGATGTGATTTTTTTGGACTCTAGGCCCGTGATTCACGTGTCAGCCAGAGTGGGGTGGGGTGCAGGGTGCAGCTGGGGCCTTGGGGCCCATGGGGTAGAGCTCCATGGCTCCAAGGAGAGCTCACCCCTCTGGGGAGGGAGGCTGTGTGGAGCATCGAGGGGTGCTTAAGGCCTGGGTTTGCAGCCTGTCTCCACTGCTCACTCGCTGTGTGACTTCTGGCAGGTTCCTCGAGCTCTCTGAGCCTGCATTTCTCCACTGGCAAAAAGGCAACAATGATACCTAGCCTTCAGAGCGCTCACGAGGGCCCAGGGGCGACTTGCTGTGGGTACCCTGCCAGGGGCCTGTGAAAATGTTTCAGTTTTAAATTCTTTTAACATCGAAGAAAAGTAATGCATATAATAATGGTGACTCCAGCATGGATTGCATTTGTTTTTATGCCAATGCAGTTGTAAAATATAATTTTAAAAAATAATTATTTATTTATTTTTGAGAAAGGGGACTATGAAGGCAGAGGTGCTTGGGACCCACAAAGGCCCTAAGGAGGCCCTGGAAGCCACATCGCAGAAGGTGTTCTCTCGCTTCATCCCCAAACACCTGCTCCGGGCCGGGCACTGTCCTCAGTGCCGGGAGATGGGGTGAATCCTCCCAGCTTCTGCCCTTAAAACACCAGCAGAGAGGACATCCCCCAAGAGGCCCTCCCCACCGTGAGATAAAGGGAGACGAGACTCAACCCCACCCGTTTCCCTCATGCCCTCCCAGCCCTGCGCCGTCGCTCCCTCTGTCCGGGACGCTTTCCTCCCTGCCGGCTCCTTATGTCCTTCGTCAAGCACCCTGTCCAGGTGTGTTCATTCCTGCCCCTCACTCGTGCTGTCAAGTCTCCACCCATGGAAGAGTCCCGCCGGTCCCTCTGGTCACGGATGGCCTTTCTGTAGAAGGGGCGGTTGTGTCGGGAGTATACATGGTTAGGGGCATTTTTGATGGGACAATTCTCTCCCGTCTCTACTAGGGACAATATCCCACAAATGCCCCTCTGCTCCCAGGGACCAATTGGATCAAGACTTTGAGGTGTTTGCCTCATCTCTTCTCACTGGAGTTGCCCATTTTTTTGATGAACATGAGAGGGTTGGGTTTGGTGGGAAGCCAGGGGCAGGGTCTGAATGGGCAGTGGGACATCTCCTGATGAGGATGTCATAGGATGTGTTTTCTTTTCCAGAACCTTGAAGATGAAGGGCCTCCTCATTCTGGCTTGCTTCCTGGTTTGTAGTAAGTGCTGGAGCCATGCCCTTTGAACTTGTGACCTTCTACCCTCTAGGAACAATAGGATAGTGGAAAGGAGACTAGTCTTCGAGGCAAGTAGAACTTAAGTTGGAATCCGGGCTCTGCACTTACTGTGTGGATATCAGCAAAAGCCTTGGCCTCTCCCAGCCTCTGTTTCCTCATTTGTGACGTACCACCGGCGCGGCCGCGGCAGGGTTCGAGGTGATGCGTCAAGCTTGGCTTTACGGAAAGCAGGTGGTATTGAGATAAAGCAGGAGGCAGATTTTTCTTTCGTTTGATGCTAAATAAAATAAAGCCAAAACAAAAACAAAATAAAAAACAATCACCTTATAGAAACATTCCATCCCAGGATTCCTGGTCACTCTCTGCTCAGGCCTGTTCAGGTTTCCCTAGCGCCCTGCTTGGCCCCGAGCGGCCACCTCCCAGCTGGAGGCAACCATGGGGGTCTGTCTCGAGGCCTCCCCAGCAGCCCCTGACAGGCTGTCCTGCACTTGCACGTCCCCAGGCTCCGGGAGACCCCAGGAGGAGCAGGAGGCCTGGAGCCCCTGGCTCGCTGTGTGCCGCGGAGCAAGCTGCCTTTCCCCTCTAGGCCTCAGTTTCCCAGTCTGCAAGATGAGGGGGCTGACCTCATGACCTCTGAGGGCCCGCCCCGCTCAAAGCGCCATACGCTCTAAATTGTGAGTGGGAATAGGGGGAGGGGCCCGGTTAGGAGATGCAGGAGAGTCCATCCGTGGGCTTCATACAGATGCCATATCAATTATTCCTCATGTTCCCTGGTCACTTGGTAGGCATCTGTCACTGCGCTCAAAATTTACAATACATCCTTTATCTTATTTTAACCCTTATGGCAATTCTAAGAGCTAGGTATACATTTTAGGAAACAAAGGAAACAGAGGCTCTGAGAGATTAGGGACCCACAGAATATCAGACTGTGAATTAGCGGCAGGGGTGCCATTTGAACTCAGGCTTACTCATTCTCTAAGTCCAAACTTGTAACCACTTCCCTGTGCTGTTTGGCCTCACCTTCTTTGTGCCTCTCCCACTAATGCGGAGGATTTAAAGAGAGACGTCTGGCCCCTCCCAGCCCCAGGGTAGGGGAGAGGGCAGGAGCCTGCTGGGAGAGCGGGCCTGAAGCGGGCCTGGGCTTCATCTGGGAATGTGGGCCGTCTTTCAGGTGTGCCTGCTGTCCTGGGAGGCCTGCTAGAGCTGAAGTCAATGATCGAGCGGGTGACGGGAAAGAACGCCCTGATCGAGTACGGCTCCTACGGCTGTTACTGTGGCTTGGGCGGTCACGGGAAACCCAGGGATCGTACCGATTGGTGAGCTGAGTATCATGACTGCCCTTATGCTCCAGGCTCTGCACCCACATTATCTACTCTAACTCCATGAATATTAAAGCCCCATTTTGTAGATAAGAACACTGAGTCTTGGAGAGGTTAACTGGCTTGCCCAGGATACATCTAGTAACTCTCCAAATCTCAGTGGCCTAATGTATCAGATGACCCATTGCGACATAACAAATTATCCTAAAATGTAAGGGCTTAAAGTGACAATGACCACTGATTCTGCTAAGACTGCCATTTGCCCAGGGCTTGGTGGGATGGCTCCAACCAGCTTCAGCTTGGGCACCTTGACTGAGGCTGGATGACACAGGTGGCTCACTCTGGTAGCTGGCACATTGTCGCTGTCTGCTGGCTGGGGGCTCAGGTGAGGCTGGGGACTGGGGGCCTCCGTTGCTCTCACCCAGGCCTCTCCAACATCGTTTACATTGTCTCATGGCATGATGACTCTCTGGCTCCAAGAGGGTATCCCAAGGCTGCAAGATGAGAGTATAGCATTTTTATGATTAGGCCTCAGAAGTATCATGGCAGTCCTTCCAGTAAACTCTAGGTTAAGGCAGTCACAGTAGGTTTAAGAGGGAGGGGACCTAGCTTCTACATCTTGATTGGGGAGTGTCCAAGTTCCAGGACATGTGAGATGAAAGAGATTGTTTTTTGGAAAATGCAATCTGCTGGGTTAACAGTTCTGAAACCGTGGGACATGTATGATGGAAACGGCAATTAAGCAAATGGATGGCAGATGTCTGGAGCCCAGTTTCTCACTGCTGGAGTGGCAGTTTGCAGACAGGCAAGGACAGGAACCTGGAACGCTCTGTGTGGCAGTGGATTTGAGTTGGAGACTTCAGTGCGAACTCCCTTGTAGCTTAATCTAGAGGCAGATGGTTATATATGGAAATATGTATTCATATGTGTATCCATGGAGTTATTAATAGTATAGACACACATATATATTTTTTACTTGGCCAGCTGAGAGGACCTAAAAGTAACTACCCCTCAGCCACAATAAGCAACACCTAGTGCCTAGATCTGGTTTCTAATATCATTCTCCAAGGAGCCAAGGGTCCTTGGAGCAATGGCTGATGCTAGGAGTAGGGCAGGAAATACAGGAGATGAGCCTGGAGCTTCTTACAGCGTAGAAAGGAAGAGCGTGTTCAAACCAGACAAAACAAACCCCAAGCAGACCCCACATGGATAGTGAGATGTCAGAGAGCATAGGAACCGACTGAAAGAACTCCCAATGGCCAAAGCTGGAATGATTTGAGCAAAAAATATCAACATATAACCATAGTCTCAACATGACAAAAACATCTGAGAAATCCCAGTAGTAGTGCATCCTGCAAAATACCTGACCGGTGCTCCTCAGAACTGTCAAGGTCATTAAAACCTTGGGAAGTGTGGGGTGCGGCCACAGCCAAGAGGAGCCTAAAGATATTTGACAACTAAATGTCATGCATGGTCCTGGATGGTGTCCTGGAAGAGAAAAGAGGACAGTAGGTAAAAACTAAGGAGATCTAAATCAGCTGTGAACTTTTTGCAATAAGGAATCGATAATGATATTTTATTATTTAGTAATTAGTTAAATTATTTAGTTAATATTGGTTTGTTAATTTTAACACAGGCATATTAATGTGAGATGTTAATAATAGGAGAAACTGGATCTGGGGTGAATAGGAACACTCTGTACCATGTTCTCAGCTTTTCTGTAAATCAAAAAAACTTTTTTTTTAATGCATCCTGCTACACCTGGCATACTGGAAGTTTATTTTTTGGTCTTATATCAGTTCAATCAAACATGTTGGTTCTGGGACCCAGGTTCCTTCCATCTTGTGGTTCTGCGCTCCCCTATGGCCTCCAAGTTCTTGGCTGGATCATCTTCATCCAGCTGAGAGATGGAGAAAGAGAGAAAGTGGAGGGTAATGTATGATGCTTTTATGGGTAGGCCTGGAAGTGGTGTACATCACGTTTGCCCACATTCTCCTGGCTGGAACCTAGTCACGTGACCACATGTACCTGTAAGGGAGGCTGGGAGATGTAGTCTTATCATACGCTTAGGAAGACGAAGCAGGCTAATGAGCTGCTTGCCAAGGGTAGGCAGCCCTAGAGGAAGGGCATATTATTCGATTCTTTCTCTGCCAGACCACACCCACCAGTGTGGCCTCTGCTTACGTGACACGTCCCTTCCATTTAGGATCTAAGTGTCTTGCACTGACAGGTGCTGCTGGGCGCATGACAACTGCTATGGGCTGCTGCAGAAGAAAGGCTGCAACACCTGGATGCAGTATTACAAATACAGATTCTCACGGGGCATGGCCGTCTGTGGTAAGGCTGGGGCTTCCCATTCAGGCCACTGGAAGAGCCTGGGTCTCCGCTGACTCTGAGTTTAGCTGCCCCTAGGTGTCAGTCAGCCTATGTCTTGGCAGGCAGAGCTGGGGGCAGAAATATTGCGCCTGTATCTGACCTCACAGAGTGAGTATTCAGTAGGTGCCAAATGTTTTGCACGCTTCCTTTTCCTTGCTCCCTGAAAAATACCGTGCGAGTGGGTTTAGTCTCCCCATTTTACAGATGAGGAAACTGGAACTCAAAGGCTTGCCAGCACACACAGCTGGAGTTGGGATTCAAGGTCCGGTCCATCTGAGCTCAAAGCTAAGTGTGGGCATGGTGTCTCTATGAGAACGGGGGTTCCTCCAGAGCAGGGGCAGTCCCTCCTCAGACTGAGTGCGCCCTCAGGGCAGGAAGCAGACTAAAATTCGGCTGAGCCTAGAAGAAGTCCTGACTCAAGCAGGCCTGGGAGTCAAGGTCGGTAGAGCGTAGCTTCTGTTCCTCATTCTGCGTTTGGCGTCCTGTTTGCAGAGCCCGGGCCCCGCTGCCAGGTGCAGCTCTGCGACTGTGACCGGAAGCTCGTCTACTGCCTGAAGAAAAACCTGAGGAGCTACAACCCTAATTACAGACACTTTCTCAGAATCTTCTGCACCTACTGACCCTCAGTGAGCTCCGCCCAGACCATGACTTTTGCCCTCTTCCCCTACAACATGGAGCTGACCAGCTCTGCTGGGCTCCCAAGACAGGCTCCCAGGTCTTGCCCCTCATTTTTTCCTTGATGGCCCACTGGGCTTGGAGGAGCCCCCACAGTCACCCTTCACTCTCCACAGAATCCCCAGAAATTGACTCCGGTCGTAGGACTCGACAAGGTCAAGGTTCCTGTCCTCCACTTGTGAGGTCAGTCCTTCAGGGGCCTAGAACTCCCTCCTAACTCCAGGCCAGTCATCCTCGCCTCTAAAGACAGAGCTCCGTCTCCAGGAGGAAGATTTCGCTGGGATGCATTTATTTTTCAGTTTCTGCCACACCCTCTAGAGAATGTTGTTCAATAAAAAGCAAAATTGACTCCATAAATCTGACACGTAGTTATTAAACAAAATGTCTCCTCAAGAGTAATACAAACCACACAGGCATTTTCCTCTGCTCTGGGGGGTTTCCTGCGCCTTTTTCTCTGCCTCTGGGCCACTAAACCCAAAGTTAGCCACCCCCTCTGAGATAGAAGGCACAGATTAGTAAATAGAAGGTTTTCTGAGACAAGTGTCAAGCCTTCTTTGGGGCTCATCTCCTTAAATCTTGGGGGTCCTCTGGGGCCAAACGTTGGGTCTCATTCCTCCTTGAGGGGGTGGGGAGAATATAACTGACGTTTATACCAGCTGAGGATTCCAGGCCAGAGAGGGCCATGTTCAAGCCCCAGTGTGGCTTCTCCAGCTGGGCGAGCCCAGCCCACTTGGGAGCCTCTCTGACATTGTCTTTTAAAAAAGAGAAACTGTCACGTTACTTGCCATGTAAATTGGGAAACTTGAAGCCACCTGAATGCTGATGCTGCTGAGGTCCTGGGATTTCACAGAGCAGAACATTTTTTAAAATAGATCTCACGCTATGAGGTTTATTTTTACCAAGTAAGGACATTAAAAAACCCAACTCATCTAGTCATTCATAAGAATACCAAGACAGCAGGAAGAAAGGACATATTTTAAAACAAAGGAGAGTCCTATCCAAGAACAGACCTTTGGCTTTCTTCCACTGACTAATCCCAGAATAACCACATGATAAATGGGACCTATGTTTAAAAACCTCCAATGTTAACCATTTTCAAAATAAAATTTCATTTTTTTAATTATGCTGAATGCACTGGCATTTTAAAAAAGTTTGATGTGGACGCGTGTCTATATTTGACGATGTAACACGGAATGGAGTTCAGATGTCCAGTTTGCTCATAAAATTTCTTTGAGCCAAGCCATTTCCCAAATCCGTTTCTAACCAGGTATGTGGAGGAAATGGGGACCTTCACTCTTAATGCCGTTTCTCCTCGATTACAATATTCTGGCTCATGGGGAAGAGACGCAGCCCAGGTGTGTCCCTTCCCTCCAGGGTCAGGGGCAGGCAAGGTGGTGCCTCGTTGGTAAGTTCTGCAGGAAGGGCCTGTTCATAGGCCCTTCTCCCTGGGGCATCCCAGCTCAGAGACCCAATATTCAGACAGGTGCTGACAGGCAATTGTGGACGAGGGATGCTGTGACGTTATGAAAGCAGCACTACAAGCTGACATGGGTTTGACCTGGAAGGGTCCATAGAGAATGTTCATTCATCTGCCAGGACATGGAGGTCCAGAGAGGCTAGGAGACTTTCCCAAAGTCACACAGCACATTGACAAACAGATGGATGGTTCTAAACCCTGGGCTCTGACCCCTTTCCCACTCTCTTCAGCTCCAGCCCACTGAGAAAGAAAATGGAACATGGAATGGTTCAGCGACTCAGCCATGTTGGGGTTTCTCAGAAGGATGCCCTGGCTTCTACCCGAGAGCCAGCTCCTCCATTTCTTCTCTGACCTAACTGTATCCTGGGATTCCAGAGTCTGTCCTTGGGTGGTTAGCCTGGCTAGGGCCCTGAGCTTCATCTTCAGTGGAGGGGACCCCACTGAGGCCGTCTATGCCTGCTGCCCAGATCCACCCTCACAGCTGTGAACAGCTCTGGAGGAAATGATCGAAGCCACGTGATTGCCGAAACTTGGGAAGAGGGGCCTCCTTGACTCTTTCATTTGACTATGTCTTGGCTGGCAAGAGAACCATCAGGAGGCTCATCTCACCCAAAATTGCGTGGCCGACCTTTCAGGGCAGATACTGAGATGTAAAGACCAGACCAGACCATAAATGCCTCCCTGGGTAGAGCTTTATACAAAAGTAGGTAGGCAGCGCAGATAGAGACGCTGAACAGACTGGCCGCTTTAGAAACGCGGCTGCTCACTGGCATTTGAGACTTGTCCTTCCAGAGGGCCTCCTTAGCGTCTCTCGCTGGAGACTAGGAGGCAGTGAGAGGCTGAAGGGGTCCTAGGCTGTCCTCGGGGCTCCCACAGTCCCAGTTTGCCCTGCCACTTGGGCTGCAAGACCTCAGGCAGCCGCGCCAGCACACACACACAAAAATAGCCTCGCACAGACTTTTACTGGCTCCCACAATCACGGGAGTCAAATTACTTTAAAAAAAAAAATCCCCTATTTTACACATAGATATCCCCTAGTACAGCAGTTTTCAACCAGCGGCATGCCACAATAATTTTTGAAGCATGCCATACCTGACCAAAAAAGGTCAGAGTCATGGAGTCAAATTAAAAAGTGACAACAGCCAATACAGCAATAGCTGCCCGGTATGAATGAATCAAAAGTATACCTAATTTTTTGTTAGATCAGCCAAAAATAGAACATGTTTTTCTGGTGTGTTGCAGAATTGTAGTAATTAGTTTATGTGTGCCACGAGATGAAAAGGGTTGGAAATCGCTGCCCTCGTAGTTCTGTTGCTCTGCTCAAACTCTGGTTCATACAGCAGGCCCCGCAGCATGCCTGCCACAAAGTGGGCGCTCAGCAAGTGTTTGCTGAGTGAATGAGTGATCTAATGAACAAATGAACAGTCCCTGTCCTCAGAGAGTTCACAGACCGGTCTGGGAACAGAAACTGAGGAACTGAGCAGGGAAGACAGCGGTTGTGATATTTTGACCTCTCTGGTGGGGCAATCTGGACAAGCTGGGCTCACCCACTGGCCTCCCAGTCACTGACGTCTCTTTGGTCTGGACTTACGCTGGGTGAGTGGGTGGGTGCTCCATTAGACTGCCGCACAAGACAGTGTTCTTAGGCCAGTGGAGATGTCCAGAAGGGGCATGGACTTCCTGCGTGACTTGTTCCTGGTAATGAGATTCCAGCCATTGCATGTGTATGGATGCTGCTGCAGATACAACTCTGGTCACACTTGCATATCTGCTTCTGTCACTTGCTCCTGGGACCTCTACTTGCCTGGGAAAGAAACTGCAGTGCTCACCTCTGGTTTAAAAGAAAGACCCATCCCACTCACACGCCACCCAGGTAGCAAGGGCCTCACCCAGGAACATAAAAAAATCCTACCGTCTCCTAGACACCTCCCGGGAAGGTGACAGGATCCCCTTTCCTGTAGAATTCAGAGAGCCCATAACCATGCAGTGAGCGAGCCGCTGGCAGGGGGTTCCTATTATCAGGCAATAGCCCTCTATCCATCTTTTCCTTCATGCTCTGCAATTGCATCACTCTCTTCCTCTAACGCCTTCGGTGGTTCCCCATTGCCAGGTTCTTCTGCCTGACATCTAACATCTTCCCCCTAGTGGCTGTACTGCCTTTCCAGTTTGACCTCCCAGTTATTCCCCATGTCCCCAAACCTCCACTCCTTGGATCTTGCTCTGTGGTTTCAGCTCTGCTCACGCGGTGTCTTCCCCTCTGGAATGTTCGTCCCTTATTCTTCCCCGTGAACTTTATTTTTTCCTGTCAGTAATAAGGAGAAGAATAAAAGCTAATGCTAACCTATTCGCCTTTCGTGTGCCAGGGATATTCAAACAGGTTATCTCATTTAATTTTCTCCCAAACCCAACAGATAGGCACAATTATCCCACGTGATGGGTGAGTAGATTGAGCCTGGGAATGTAACCTTGGCCAAGTAACCTGCTTTGAGGTGGGGATTTGGACCCGAGACTGTGCACATCCAGGACCTGAGCTCCCTGGGGGCAGGGCCTGTGCTCTCAGCACTCCTGACCTGCTTGTCTGAGGACCTGGCCCAGAGGAGCGCTCAGGAAGTGTCCTCTGAGTCAGACCCCACAGGCCGCTGCCTTCGATCCCGGGTGCCCAGAGAGCAGGCTGCATGTCTGCGTTTTCTTGGGAACCAGAGCTAGGAGCCAAAATTAGAAACTCAATACAGAAAATCTGGTTTTGAGGGAGCCTGGCCCCAAGACCCCACAAGCTCAGAGAAAACGGAAGACCATGGCCATGACCCTGAGGCCCTGCAGTGTTTTCGGTGCCCCTTGAACCCACAGGAAGCACAGAACGAAACCCTCTCTGGCTGTATGCATTTTGTGCCCAAACCATGCAAACGCTTCCTAACACTCAGCTGGGTTAACATTCTATCACTCAGAACTGTGGGTGACTAGCAGTATTGCGAACTAGGCACCGGGCCCTAGTCCCGACTTTGCACATGTCCTGAGCGACCTTGGGCAGATCCCTGACCCTTCCTGACCTCAGCTTTCCCATTTGACAAGAACAAGTTTGGTAAATCATTTAAAATCATTCTCTGGTCCATTCGTGGGTCACAAAGTCAGTTGAGAGGGTTGTGTCTGGTATGTGCGCGCGCGTCGCGCATGTGTTGATATATCACAAAGCAGTAAAGGGCTAATTTAGCAAATTGCGTTTCTGTTGTGGGTGCGTTTGTGTGGGTTGACTGGGTCCAGCTGTAAATTTTATGACATTCTGTGAAAGGCCATCAAAAGGACTTGAGAAACCCTTGTTCCCATGACATCTCAGGGCCTGCCTGGCTCTGAGGTTGTGGGTGTCTCAGTGGCCCCTGTGTCTTAGCCTTCATTATGTAAATAACCCCCCAAAGGCTGCCCTGGGGCTCAACGCCCCGGACTCCCTCAGCCCGTGCATCAAACATCATCAGA